AAACTTTGGTCAGAATAGTTTCAGTTTAACTTACAAGTCATAAAACCTGACAAGAAACAAAACTTTGGTCAGAATAGTTTCAGTTTAACTTACAAGTCATAAAACCTGACAAGAAACAAAACTTTGGTCAGAATAGTTTCAGTTTAACTTACAAGTCATAAAACATGACAAAAAACAAAACTTTCATCTTTTTTTCACTCAGAACAGTTTTAAGTTAGCTTACAAATCATAAAAAAGAAGAAACTCAAAAACCATAGTTACATATGTGTTAACTGTTAGCTTAGAAGAAAAATTATTTAGAAAAAGTATAATTAATTTAATCAATGTAGAAAATTAAATTCACAGACAGTTGAAATCACTTACTGGATCTAGAAGGTTAGAGTAAAGAAGACACAATACATACTTTTCTTTATAAAGATGTAAAATTCCCTTTGTAACTTCCACAAAATGATTTCCAGAATAAAACTGAATCTGCGAACACATGTTTTTAGAGCACTTGTCTGTAACATTTTGTCCACCTTCACTAGATACAGGAGAAAGTTCTTTTTGACTTTCATTAATACAACTAAAAGTTTCTTCTGCATTCAAGTTATCTGTAACAACTGTGATTCTTGTAACTGAAGTTGTAGAATTTTCACTAACAGGTTCATCATTTTCCCCTAAAGAGAATTTATTATCCAGATCTTTATTCTCTGGAATATCCAATTTTCTTGCTTCTTTTTCACTTTGTTTAATGGATGACGTTACAATCTCTGAGTAAGAAACCATATTTTTTTCTTTGGGGCTTTCTGGTGTCTCTTTTGTTTTATCATTTCCATCACTGGATTTAGTTGTACAGTATTCACTCTTTTCTTTTCTTTTGGCATCAATTTCTTGAGCTTGTTTTTCTGGCTTGTCCCTTGTCCCACCTCTAGATTTCTTATTTTTCTTGCTTTCTCTCTTCTTCATGAAAGTCTCCACAGGTTCACCTATTTTTTTTTCTTTTCTGTCTGTTGTTTCTGGTTTTTGGAAGACACTCTCAGGTTTTATACTCTTCTCATCAGTGACTTGAAAGGGAAGGCTTATATCTGTTAATTCAGGCTTTTGCAATGAATGTACAAGTTCAGAATGTTCCAAGTCTTTTGATTGTCTTTCAGTATCTTCGTACTTTGTAACTAGTGGATCAAACTTGTCTGTGAGAAAAATAAAAGTATTGAGTACAAATAAGCTAATGTAATATTTACTTGGTACACACATTCTGCATTACTGTTCAATTCCACTTAGAGTTCCATATGATTTACATGTCTTACCTACCAGTACCAACTAGTTCTGTAACTAATATTTTACAACTGAATTTTAAGTCTTGAATTTTGTTATAGTAGATCAGAGAACAATGTTTGTTTTAAAGTAACACTACTTTGTTATATCTGTAATGACTATTAACCCTTAGCTTAACAACAGTTAATCCATCTTTGAAAATGTCTAATTTTGGCTATTTCATATTCATGATTACTAGCTTAATCAATAATCTTCCAATTCATGATTACTAGCTTAATCAATTACCAATTCATGATTACTAGCTT